AAGAGTGTGTAAAATGGCTAGTAGTAGGGTTTGGGCTAGTCACTTTCTGGCAGTCAGAAACAACAGATTAGGTGTTAGTTGCATCTGAGTTGAATCCACTTGAGTTACCTATTTAAAAACCACATTTTATTTTCACTCCTGGTCACTTTATAGAAACATTAGCTTTTCCCCATGTTTGGGTAACCCAGAAATGCTTAAATGAAATTTTGCTTTTGGGCTAGTGTTTCCTTCTTTTATTTAGAGCAAAGCATATAATTCTTGGGTCATGCCTGGAGGGTATGGACCCTGAGATGGGTAGGGATTTGGATCCCAAATCATACTCAGGGGGAGTGTCTTCATCCTTCCTGGGTCTGGGAGCTTTGTTTCGTTCCTTCCATTCTTTTGCAGCATACATACCACTATGGTTCTCAGCAGTTGCCCTGGGAAAAGGGGTGATTAATATTAGGGAAGCTTTCTTTGCACTCTCGCTGCCTGGATGGTGGGAGTGGGCAGCAGCTTTAAACATGAGGGGAAAATATGGGACTGACAGATCCCATTGTCCATGACTGGTCCCACCATATAGCTCTCTGTTCTTCCCCTAGTTCAAGCCCCATAACTGTTCTCATACCCAATTCCCCATCTGCTGTTGTTTCATCCTCCAACAACAACCTGGTCCCACCCAACCTCCTTCCCTACTCTTCACCATCCTTGTCTACTCCAGTCTTCCAACATTCTTGAATTGTGTCTCCTAAAAACATAATATTTTTTAAGACAGACAAGGTTCTTTGGGTAAATCTGATATCTTTTATTAGAGCAACTTAGTTGGAAAAAATTCTTCTTTGCAAGCTTTTGGGCACAAACACCCTTTGTCAGGCTGAGGAAGCATCTGCAGTTGGTGTGTGCTCTGCCCAGATGGAATGAATAGTAAAGAATCCAGATGCTGGTATGCATGCAAGAAAGCTGGTCAGTGACAATATAGACCAACACAGCTACAACCTACACCCTGTAACAATTTTTTAAGATATGAGAAGTCCAAATGAGGGAGCTGTGGTGGGAAATTTTGGGCCAAATGACCCAGGGACTGGAGTTTCTTTTTGACCACACTCAGTTACATTGCCTTCTGAAGCCTTTTGTCATCCCTCCCTTTAATCAATATGTATTTTCTTGACCATACATCTAAAATCAAATCAAGTCCTCAAGTGGATTTTAGGTGACTTTAAAGTATTGCTCTTAAAGCAGAAATGTTGGTCCTGGGGTCAAGCTGTCAAATGAAGGTCCTGCAGAATGCAGGCTGAGAGCTGAAAACATCCACAAAATGCATTTTCTCAGAACAATCAGTCAGGGGCTTGATTTCACAATGCATAAGCATAGCTGAGGTTCAGTGAGCATAGCAGGTTTTCTTGCAGCATCCGGTTCCTGTGATGAAAGGCTTGCCTTAATACTGCCTGGCTGCCTGTACATGCTTGCTTCTAGGTGTGTCAGTTTGATGCATGCTCACCTGGAGTTTCAAGCAGCATTCTTAACTTTTTCACTGTAATTCCCTGCAAAAGGCACTGGGTGGTGTGTACTAGCAGAGGGAAATTCTGAGTTTGGGGAGGATTAGAGCTGTTGTTTAAACTTCAGGCATGTCTAGTAATTATGCTTTTCCTGACTGAAAAGTTAAAAAACAAAATAAAACCCTTTTACATTTCTCTCTGTTTTGCTCCCCCTCAGCAACTCTTTGAAAGATCCCTTGTTTTAAGCTCCATTTGGAGCAGGGTTCTGTCCTTGTCATTGGAAACTGGTATGAGGTATTCCCACCTGCCCAGAAGTCGAGGAAAAGGTACCCTACTTCTTACAATGCTCTGGGTTCCTGCTAGCTTGAGGAGCAAGGGACAGTATCTTGTCTATTTATGCTTTAAAACAAACATCACTTCATTATCCCCTTATTAAAGGGATTCCTGTTGAAATGCAGAACCGTGATACAGATATAGCCAGAGGTTCAAAAATAGTGCAGCCTTTCACAGTGGCCTTGTTAATGGAACTTCAAGTACCTGCTGCCAAGTTGTGACTCACTGACCCTGCCTCTTGGCTGAGTTTTGCTGCCTGCATTTGTTTAAAGCGTTTCTCTGATCTGCTATTCCTGTGGGCAGAGAAATGGTTTTTAGAATCGTTGCCCAGTGTACTAATAAGATGGGTGTTTTATTGGAAGGGGAAGGGTTTATTTGTGCAGCACATGCCTGGGGATTTGAACACTTAAGTTATGTTCCCTAGAAGTCATCAAATGCTTCAGGCCAGTCGTCTTCTAGAGGAATGTAACTTACTTTCTGCTTTTCCATAAGCAGCCACAAAGCATTGGGCAAGGAGTGGGTTCTCTGAGTACCTTTGAGTAAAAAAAAGATAAGCAGGTTTCCCCATTTCTGTAAGAACATTTGCCAGTCCATGTACTTTTTGGCTCTCAGACCTATGCAGCCATATTAAAGATATCCTGTTTATAACAGCAAAGTTTTTTCCAGTGCATTGTTAAGCTGGGAGCAATCCACGTGCCTTTTAATTTCAAAGTATTGTCTTTAACTCCTTGTCCTTCCTTTCCCGCTAGTGTGAGGAATTTTACAATTGGAAAAGCAGTAAAACAGGTAACTAGGAAAAAAAAAAAGATGGCTTCATTTTATGTATTTTATTTATTTATTTATTTATTTAGAGTTAATGCCTTACTGAATAATGTATATTTTTTATTAAGGACCCACTCATGTAATATGATTAACAGCTGTAGTCTTCAGTTTAGCATACCTGTAGTCACGTAACAGTTAAAGTTAAGAAAGCGTTGCTTGATTTTTTTTTTTGTAACTTTTTTTCTGAGCTGAAATTTGAAATGGCTTTTGGTCCTAAAACAGCTTAAGAAGAAATCAAAGAATATTTGGTATGCTGGTGGGTTGTCTGAAAGGTCCCTTGATATGCACAGTGTTTGAAAGTCTGAGAGAAGCTTTATATTTTGAAAACTTACAAATTGATAATCAATTGAGAAGGCATTTAGAAAAGGCAGCATGTTCAGTACACTTATTACAATAAATGAAGTACTATGTGCCATTCTGTTTAGGTTCTCCCCTGCTAGCATGAATGTAGGTGGTTATCAGAATCTCGGTGTTGCGTCAGTGCATCTATCAGTCATTTTAGTGGCCACACACTGGCTATTTTGTAATGTGTTTTCAGCCTTCTTCATGCTGTATTACTCCTTTCTGTCTCCAGTGAGGGAAGGGGGGCAGGGCATTATCCACTTTGCCAAGACCAAGAAAGGACCCCAGTAGAGGGGACAGGGGGAAGTAGCAGCAGCAGGCAAGTAGGGCAGTACCTGAGGCCTTCCAGTAGCAGAACTAGCCCAACCTGGATGCATTTTTCTTCAAAGACGTAAGAGTTTGTGATGGGGGCACTGTAAAATCAAACATTACGAAGAATATGACCTAGATCAGGGGTGGGCCGACTACAGCCTGCGGTCTGGATCTTGCCCACCAGGCCATTCTATCCATTCTGGGGGGCCCCTAAAACCATTTTACAAAATATTTATCTGCTCCTGGATTCCTTTCATAGATGACAGGAGCCAGGGGCAGTAGGACCCAAGGGGAGCCTCAGCTGGATACAGAAGCCCAAGCCTGCCCCTCCCCCAGCCTTTTTCCTGCCTTCCCACACACACACCCCACCATACACATGCAACTCTCTTGCAGTGCCATACACACAGACCCCCCCACTTGTACTCCCTCACACACCCCAGCCACCCTCCCCCCCACACATCCCGCCACAAACCCCTTACCCACCCACATCCCACATATCCAATATGCACCCACACCCTTCCCCACAAACCTATACCCACCCCCTCCACAATATACAAGAGTAAGGCTTCATTTTAAGCTATTATATACAATCACCTCTGTCTACTACACCAACGTGTAAACCAGGACAAAGACATTTTTTGAAATCAAATTAATAAATGGTTTAGATGTTCACTTTTTAGAATATAATTTGGTATATTTCTGGTTCCAAGATGGCAAAACCTCTTGCTGAAAGGAGTACTTCCAGGGCTAAGAGGAGGGACTGTTTGCAGGCCAGATGAGCTATACCAGGTTCCCCTGTGGTGTGGATTTGACTGGTGGATGCAATCTGGCCCCTGCAGGACAGGCATGAGCCACCTTGGCTCCTATGGGACACACGTGGTGGCAGCGTTAATTGTCACTACTGCCCTACTGCCAAATTTTCCATCCTGTTGAGGAGTCCTATGGGCACCCCTGCCCTATGTGAGTGCAGTGCCTGACATGGAACCCTGAATCAGGTTTTAAGTTTTACCACAGTATAAACAATTTGAATACAATGAAGACTGAGTTCTTGTGCTGTATGTAGGCTAAATAGTAATTTAGAGAGGGCCTGTCTGCTCTAAGCAGTTGTGCAGTGTTCATGTCCAATTCTCAGAATAAGGGATCCTGCCTACTATAGCATTTGATGGATTTGTTGCACTAAACAGAGATACTGGGGTCTTGAAGAGCCTCTTTTCTAAATTTAAATGTGTGATTTTTTTCAATGTCTTTTTAGCAAGCAAGAAAAAAGAAAAAGAAAGGCCAGAAATCTCCCCTCCATCAGACTTTGAACATACCATCCATGTTGGCTTTGATGCTGTTACTGGAGAATTCACTGTAAGTATATCTGACTTAGAGGAATTCAGAAAGCCTTCATGTGGTTCCATGCTGCAGTGAGGACAGTGTCACGTTGGCATAAAGCTTGAGTTGGTCCATTCTTTTTCATCACAAAAGTAGCTTGTTTTGTATACAGTGTCTAGAGCGGTGACCTTGGTTGGCTTCTTAAGTGCCTCTGGTGCAAGTGTTTAGTAGTATTTTGGGCTCTTAATGGTTTGAACCACTTAAAGTAACCTGTTTGCAGAATTCCTGTTAGGCTGTGGCAGGGGTGGGCAATTATTTGGGCCAGAGGGCCGCTTAGGGAGTTGGATATGCTATCGTGGGCCGAGACACCCCTCCTTTCGCCTCCCCCACCCCACAACAGCTCACCCAAACCCCCTAAGTGACTCTCCGGCCCAAATAATTGTCCACCCCTGGGCAGAGAGAACAAAGGTTAAAGGGAACCTAATCCTTGTTTGCCCCCTTCTCCTTGCACCCCCTCCCCTGTCCTGAGTCCTTGGCATGCATCTGGGCCAGTGCTGCACTGTATTCTCTCGTTCTGGCTCAGGCCATGTGGGTGCAGCTTGTGTGGCTCCTGCCTGATCCTGCTGCATGCTGGGGACTCGGGGTAGAGGAGAGTGTACAGGGAGAAGGGAGGAAACAGCATGACACTGGCCTGGCTGGGCCCAGATGATGTACAGCTCCTGGCCCCCTTCTTGCACTCCCTCCTCTATCCCAAGTCCTTGGCATATGGCTGGGTCAAGCAGGAGCCATGCCAGCTGCACCCACTTGGCCTGAGCTGGTGCACGGGAATACAGTATGGCACTGGCTCGGGCTAGCTATGTGCTGGGGACTCGCGGTGCAGGGAGAAGGGGGATGGGAGCTGTGGGTTATCCAGACCCAGCCTGGCTGGTGCCATGCTGTGTTTCCCTCTTCTCCCTGCAGCCCCTCTTCCACCTCAAGTCCCCAGCATGCAGCTGAGCCAGTGCCACACTGAGTTCCTGTGCATTGCTTTAGGCCACATAGGTGCAGCTGGCACAGCCCAACCCCACTGAGTGCTGGGGACTCAGGTTGGGCAAGAGCCATGCCTAGCTGCTCCAGCTGCACCCATGTGGCACAGCCTGAAGCAGCATGTAGGAACACAGCATAGCACTGGTGCCCACACCCCTTTCAGGCCCCGCCTTAGCAGAGCCTGCATAACCTGTGACTCCTGGCCCTCTTCCCCCTGCACCCCCTCCCCCACCAGTGGGGAGAACCTTACCTGAGCTTTGACTCACTGGGCTCAGGGTCAGAGTGGGGCACAGACAGGGCAGAAGCCTGGCCTGGGGCTGAGCACCACCTGCCTTGGAACTTACACTGGGGTCTGGAGGGTGGGATAGCTGGGGAGGGGAGGGGCTGCTGCTGGAGCTGGCTGGCATGAAGAAGGGAGAAGGGCAAGAGGCACTGAAAGCCAGGGCAGCTGTGGGCTGGATAAAATTCTCCTTCAAGGGAGCAGCTGCGGGCTGGGTAAGATAATTTGGCAGGCCGGATCTGGTCCGTGGCTGTATTTTTGCCCACCCTGGGCTATGGAATAGCCATGGAAAATATAAAATGACCTCTATTTTGTTAATTCCTTTCTGTTTACAAATGATCAGGCTGTGCTGAATGGGGAGCACTGGGTTAATGTACCCGAACTGCAGGTGGCATGTGTTGGAGGTAGGCTTCTTCCTGCAGCCTCCCATTAGACCAGAGAACCTGATAGAACTCTTGAATGTTTGAGTGCTCAGCTGATGACTTGGTTTATGTTGATGTCTGAGCTAGTGGCTGAAACCTCACTGCCTTTGATATAGTTGAAATCACAAAATAAAGGAAGGAAAATTCATTCTTCTTGTCTAATTTAAAAAAATGTGTTTCAGGGAATGCCAGAGCAATGGGCTCGGTTGCTACAGACCTCAAACATCACCAAGCTAGAACAGAAGAAAAACCCCCAGGCGGTACTAGATGTGCTGAAATTCTATGACTCCAAAGACACAGCAAAACAGAAGTATCTGAGCTTCTCTGCTCCAGGTGAGACGAAAGTACCTACAAGGTGTATTCACACGGGCAGTTGAGTCTCTAGAACTACTTCTGATCTTTCTATGTTTGTTGTTTAGCATTAAGGAATTGCACACAGTGCTGAAGAGTCAAATTTAATTTCTAATGGGGGAAAGGAACAGTTGAAAATAGTATCCATGGAAGCTGAACTCTGCCTTTCCTTTTCCAAGTGGGGAAGAGAACAAATGGAACAGAATAACTAACTCAGAGTAACATCATCAGTTTGTAATGAGCTTTATTTATGAAGTGAAAATTATATGGCTATTATTAATTGGTTTAATGCTGTGGAAATCTTCACTTTTACTTGTCCAATGCCACTTGGCTGTAAAATTGCTCTACAGTAACTTGTACTGGTTTCACTGTTTGATAGGACCAAATGTTAAACATAGATTCTCATTCTTAATGCAAGTTTTAGAGGAGGAGAGACTGTAGAAAAAAAATTACTGCACTTTTTTTTCTAATGTCTTCAGTAGTTTTTAGCTTACCAGATCCCAAAGAAAATCCATTCTGAAAACAGTAGGGTAATAATGCTTTGTCATGTTTTCACCTTGACTTCAAATATGGCTAATGAAACAACAGAGTCCGTTTAGTTGTAATCTTCTGTCTCTTGCACATCAAAATCAATACACAATTTGACAAAACAGGAAATCTCTACTTTAGTTGAGATCCAACAAGTCTGTATCTGACATGTATTGGCTGACCTGGGATGGGATGGGGTGGGAATCTTTGTAGCATCTTACCTGCATTGTGGCTGGACTTAGTCACTTCAGTTGTTGTCTCATGTTTTTCACCATGTAAATTTACTTGGATGAGAAGGGAGAAATGCCTGGAACTGTCTCTTCTGTTGATATGCTGGTCAGCTGCTCTACCAACTTTACTGTTATTATTTGGCTATTTACATACATTTATTTTGCTTTTTCTTCATGTTTAGAAAAAGATGGTTTCCCTTCAGGAACGCCAACAGTAAGTGTGCTTATTGTTGCTTATACCTCTTTAGGGAGACTCCATTTTAATTATAAATTTAAGTTGTAGCTTTATGCTGTATAATAAAACCAAATTAGACTATTTCTTACTTGGTTTCCTTTAGGAACCCTTGGTAAAGGGAAGGAGGGGGTCAGAATTTTTTTAAAAAATGAAGATGAAAATTCCAAAAATTCCTTAACTCCTAGGACCCATGACTTTGGAAGGGAAAACTACAATTTTGTTAATTGTTTTCTTCTTCCTCCCCGCCCCCTTCCTTAATAAATACACAGTCAAATGCAAAAGGCTCAGAGCCCTCAACAGCAGTAGCCGAAGATGATGACGATGATGAAGAGGCCCCCCCTCCAGTTATTGCCCCGCGACCAGACCATACAAAATCAGTAAGTAATTTCAGTTTCCTTCAAAAATATTTCCCTTTATTGCTGGCCTCTCTATCTAGTCCCTGCCTTAACACACTGGGGAAGTTATTTGCAAGGGGATACTTTACTTGTTAGACTAAAAAGTTTTGTGTGTGTGCGTGTGTAAATAAGTAAAAAAAACTTGTTTTTTTTTACTTTTATTTAAAATACCTCCCTTCTAGTTCTACCTTGCAGATAAATAGAAAGACAGACTTTCCTTCCAGTTCTACCTTCCAGGTTCCATTTTTATCAGGAGAACCACAACAATACTGTTGTTTTTATGGGGGTTGTATTAAAGGAATCCAAACTTCGTTTCCTTATCTTCCAAGTCATATCACGAGGAAAAATCTCAGTTATTTACCAGTCTTTTTCAGTGCCCAAAAGTTATGGATAATCTGTACATTTTTATATAGTAGCCCTGACAATTATGTGCTTGTCTCTCTCTCTCTCTTTTGTTCTGTTAGAATACTTGGTGTCCTTTTCTCCCCCTCCCCCCTGGCTAATGCCAAGTTAACCTTAGGAATGTATTCCCTCTACTAGAATATATGAGAATTTAAACACTTAAACTGCCAGGTAAATATTAGTGCCATCTTTTTTTTACTTTAACATTTCCTCCCCGCTGAGTGAGTGCCAGAGACCCTTCTTGCCCTTCTATGCATTCTCTGATAAAGGCCATATTTCATTTCACCCATCCCTGTAGTTTTGCTTTGCCTGAAAGGTGGGTATAGATTGGGCATAATTTCTGTCAAATCCTGCCTATAGTAACTAAAGAGTACATCAGACTTAAATGGTTTGTTTTCTTGATAAATTGGCTCCAGCATCTGCACTATCCAGTAGGTATTCAGCTTAGTCTCTCAGAAGTAAGTAATGTTGCAACCATGTTGATTCTTACTAGAATTCAGAAATTCTCTGAACAATTGACTGACTTCTCATTCCAAATGCTTTCAAATGAAACAATTATTAGAACTGTATGGCAGTTTTGAATCTGAAAAACAGTGATTGTAAGGAGGATTCTGATGGTGAGTGATCTTTCTCTCGTCACAGATTTACACGCGATCTGTAATTGACCCCATCCCTGCACCAGCTGGTGATACTTGTGTTGATAATGCTGTCAGGTCAGCTGACAAGCAGAAAAAGAAGACCAAAATGTCTGATGAAGAGATTATGGAAAAACTACGTAAGTGATTCTTTTTTAAAGCTTCTGTACTAATGACAGTAGTATTGAGGTTCTGTAGGGACTTACTGAGCCCTTTACTTACAACTGGTAATGCCTGTTGGAGGTTTTTTTTAGCAGATACCAATCAATTGCATTTAGTCAAAATCTGAGTTTGTCACAAAAGAAGTTTCATCTGTATTAGGTCTTGGTTCTTTTCTCCTAGGCAGCATATTGACAACTAAGTCTTGATGCCATTATTCCCATTTTCAGAACATAGGAAGTGCTATGCTGGGTCACACCAATGGTCCTTCTAGCTCAGTATCCTGTCCCTGACTGGAAGGGCTGGATGCTGTAGAAGGAGAGCATTGAAGCAGATCTCTATAGAGATCCCTGTTCAGTATTCTCCCAGGCATCCATTGTTATTGTGTTAAAGATGCCTGAGGAAACAACTCCAACCCTTCTGATCAATGACCATTAATAGATCTAGCATCCATGAATTTATTTAGTCCTTTTTTAAACCTGGTTACATCATCTGCCTCCACGCCCTTCTGTGGCAATGAATTCCAAAAATTAACTGTATGTTGCATAAAAAAGTAAAGATAATATTGCAGCTATGATAAGTTATTCAGCATCTTTGGGCTATTCCCATTGGTAGCACCAAACCTAGTACATTTTTGCTGTTAGGTTTCTAATCTTTATAGGTGAAACTATAGTATTGTAGCCAAATTTTGACAGGCAACTGTAAACTTTACAATTGGCTTTCTAATTATTGGATTAATTATGAGCATCATATCAGGTTTTATATGTTGTATGTAATTTAAGGTGATATTGAAGAATAGACCATTAATGATAAAACTGTTTAATACTAAAGTTGAAAGAATGTCTTCCACTCTAATAGTAAAGGAACGCTTCCTAAAGCACTGGTTGATCCAGGATTTTTGTGGAAACTTTTTTAGGCACTATCGTAAGCATAGGCGATCCCAAGAAAAAATATACCAGATATGAAAAAATTGGCCAGGGGTGAGTATTTGTAAACATGTAATGTAATATTTCTTTGGAACTTATAGTGAACCAGTATTAAAGATGATGTGTTGTTCTCCTCCAGTGGTTGTCATTTAGTCATTGTTTACCCGGGTGGAGATGTCTGTGTAGATTTATATAAATAATAACCAGATGCAGTATACATTAAACAATGGTAGAAGTTCTAAACTGCTTCCTTTTAATGTACATCTGCAATGCCAAAATAGGTCTTCCTGGGTATAGATCATTTTTTGATTGGCTGGAGTAAAGGTGCCAAAATATATTTATTTCTGTTAATTTGTCAGTCTTTTTCTCCTACTCATGAGATGTTTGTCTATTTTTATAATGTTATGGCTAGTGAAAAGCTGAGGGTTAAAGAATGCAAGACCTTCCTGACCCAGTTAAGGTGCTATCAGTCTAGAGTAACTGCTTTAGTATCCCCATTAATCATTTAAATGTAAAAGGTCAGTGGAAAGGTGACTTCAGCTATAAATTTGCTCAAGTGTTTTAACTAAACATAATTCTAGCTCTGTTTGTTTCCCTTCCCAACATATTTCTGTAGTGGGTTACTTCATTCTTCACCAAAAGTATAGTGGAAGGTAATTGTCTGACTTAACTGGTCTTTGGGAATAGCACAGGGTTTAGGGATGTGCACATATTCATGTGAAAGAAGTAGTTTGTAAAATATGGAAGAGGGTGAGCCTGTATGACTAGTGCATGCTCTTGGGATTTATATTCAATTAATTATCCTTACCTCGGCACCCTGCTTGTTTATGACACTGCTCTTCTAGGCAGGCAAAACAGAAAAAAAAAATTTGCCTTTGGGATCTGCCCATTCATGTATATGCATATTAGATGTGACATCTTAATTGCACATTTTGTCTTCACAGGGCTTCAGGTACAGTTTTTACAGCTATTGATGTAGCGACAGGACAAGAGGTAAGATCTGTGTGCTTTCTAATAGTGGGAGTTCCTTTTCTGCTTACTCAATTCCAAGACAAGGGTTTTCTTCTCCTGTCTAACATGGGAGGGGGCTGTGGTGGTAGAAAGCCCCTTGTCTTGGATTTGAGTACGAGGTGGCTACTGTGGCTAGAGCTGGAGCCAAAGCCCCAACTCTGGGTTGGGGCTGGATCTACAGCTGCTGCCTGCCACCCCCCATCTGTCCCCCTGTTGTCTCTCTCACCCCATAGTCTCTGCTGCTTGGCCTGCCTCCCCCACCCCTCTGCTTATTCTCTGGCCCCAATCCAGCCCAAAACACAGAACACATGTTTACTTCAGGCCCAGCCTGGCCTGGTAACCACTGTTGTGGTGGCAGCAGCTCCACCTGGGCCCCAGAGCAAGCACATGTTCCCTGTCCTGGGCTGAATCAGGACCCAGGGGTTAAGCAGGGATGGGAACAGGCAGAGGCTACAGGGTGGTGGGACGGGGGGTGGGGTGGGCAGCAGGCAGCAGTTGTGGATCCAGGAGTAGGGAGGCAGAGGTGGTGGGGACTGCAAATGCTAGTTGGGGACAAGGGGCAGGGGAGTGCAAAGTGTTTGGGGAACAGGGGTCAGGCTATTTGAACTCCCCCACCTCCCACCACAGTTTCCCTACTGCCTTCCTGCTGCCTGCCCACTGCTACTGCTTCCCCTGCTGCAGTGGTGGGGGCGACAAATTTAAAATGACCCTCCAATTATTTGGTTCTGTATGTGGAAAATTATTTAAAAATTGCACGTTTTCTGTGTACAGAATCTAATTATTGTGGGGGTTGAAGGGTTATCCATCTTAAATTCAGTCGTTTTGGATCTGGCTAAATATGGTAAGTTTTCATTTTATAGATGTCAGAAGTGAACTTTAGTAGGTTTCTTACCAATGGCTCTTATCTCTGGCACCACCTCCCTGTAGAATATTTGTCATAGTCATTTGTAACAGTACTTGCCTTGTTTTGTGGCAATCAGATGATGAATGCTAAAAATAGGGTTTTGTCTTTCTGCTGAACATCATTTCACTGCCTTTGCTTTTCAGAGTTTTGGTTTTTTTAAACTGCTTAAATGTTAAGTGTTGTGCACAGTATAGTTTCGGATTCTCACCAGAAATTCTGCATTTCATCTTGTAGACCTTTCCTTCAGCCCACTTTGATATTTGTAACCTTGATATTCTTGGAAAGAATTTCTACACACATGATTTTTTTTTTCTTATTAGACTACCTTTTTCCAGTTCCTTTCCTATCAGTCAGTCTTAGCACAGGTTACTTTCAGATCATCTGGCAGAGGTGATTGCATAGTCATCATTTTTAAATTGTTAAAACTTCAGTGTCCCATTTGTTTTGATGTTTTCCCTTGAACATCTGTCATTACTATGCTGCCTTCCTCATCTTAAAAACAAATTATTATCTGCTGCTTTCTAAATTAAGATTTTAATGAACTGCTTTATCTGTCAGTCTTCCCTCTTCATTTCTGGCACTTTGAATGTTCCTTTTGAAGCTGGGTGAAAGATTCTCAATCATGGTTTTATCTCTCTTCTTTAGAGCCATTAGCACCTTCCTATTTGACATTTCCCACCTACAAAAATAGTGATGCTTTAGACTCAAGGATGAGGAACTTCATCACCAGCTACTTCTAGTATCATAGACAAATATTCTGTCTTGATTAAATTTAAAATCTTTTCACGGTTGTGCGGACCTACTTGCCTTTACTTATCACACACTAAAGCATTTCATGCCATCTACCTATCTGTTACAAAATCTGATTTCTGCATTCCTTTTTCTAGCCCGTATGTGCTGCTTCTGATTAATTCAGCATTTGGTATTTTACAGTCTTCCCTCTCTTCAGCAGTGAAATGGTTTTCACTGTGGCTTTTTTACCGTATTGGAATTCTTCATGCATCAGAAAATACCATCATCTTGGGTCGCTGACAGCTGTTAATTTAATCATGTGATGGGAGCTGAGAAATGTTTTCTTTGATTGCAACAATCACACTTCTGGCATGTCAGATCTTGGTGGCAGGATGCATGATCATTGGGATGTGGGACATAATTCTTCAGATCTGATTGTGTGTCTGACCATTGCATCCATGGCATATGTGGAGAGCTGGGGATTGGGGAGCTCCCCAATACTCGGATCCCTGTGTTGCAGACCTCTAAACTGCACCTGCAGCCACACATTCAAATAAATGCATAATGCAAGCCAGCCACAAAGCTGTTCCATGTTAAATGTTGAGAAGGCACAACATGGATTTCCATGACGTGGAGCATCTTTTTTACTGGTTTGCCATTTTTATTGTTGTTTGGCGATGTGGTTTCTTAAAGTTTATCACACAACTAACAAGGTTACATTTATCATACAGTTAATATCTGCCAGGGGCAGTAGAATAGGTAAGGCTGCTGACACATGTTAAGACAATTGTGGTAATGAAGTTCGAGGAATTTTTTTGTCCTCTCACCAAAATTGCATGATCTGGCATGCCAGATATGCGTGGCAGGTTGCACAGTTTTGCAGATTTGGCACAAAATTCCTCAAACCCCAACCCCATGGTTGCCACTACCAGCTTCCATCATGTGGGGAGCCGTGTATCAGGAACCTGAAGGGCTTCCTTGCTGCAGGCAGGCTTCCTGCCTTGCTTTGCAGTCTGTGCATGAGCTGAAAAGAAAGGCACTTGCAAGTTTTGTATGCAGTTGGGGAGTGTGGAGTTCCTGGCATCCCAGCTGCCTGTGCCAAGCATGGTAATGCGATACATGCAGCTGCAGCTTCCATATGAATCTGTGGCTCCTAGCTACAGACCTGCTCTTTAAAGGTGCAGGTTGCCATGAGTCCGACTTTAGGGAGTGTTTTTTAAAGCTTCCTGGGCACTAGAAAGAGTCAGACACCACATACCTGGTGTCTTGGTCTTAGCACATGGGGTGATCTAAACAGCATGACTGAAGGCACACTTTTAAAAAGCTCCTCTGCTGGGGCCCACGGTCTGGGGCACGTGAAGCTGTGAAGCAAGGAGGAGCTCCCATGTTCCCCAGCTGCTGCTTCCATGGGTCCCCCAGGAACTTAGAAAAGGGGATGACTGTGTCCCAGATCCTAACGTTCAGCTCAGTATTGAGGTCTGTCATAGGTCAGCCTGGACATGCCACACCTTCAATTTAAGGCATGATAGAAATGAGCCACAAAGAATATTATACATTATATGTGAAACATTTTTGTGGCTCGTTTAAAACCAATTTATATCATGATAACATTGTAATGTATGGCAGGGTTACTGTTTATGGTGTGATGGACACCCTAATTGCACCGTAAGTGTAATACATGCCAGGGTGCTGTTGTCTGTCACTAGACAATAGTTTCAATTCTGGAGGTGACTACATATCGGACCAATAGGGCGTTCTTCCTCTACCTGTCTTGAGTGTGAAGACATCTGCTTCTAGCTTTTAGATGAACTGGTGTTCTTGGCAAGAAGAATACAATAGCTACTAACTCCTTCGTCTCAAATTTTCAGTCTGAGTTTTCTTTCCAGTAGTAGTCATTATGTTGATATCACACCGAACTTCTTTGCTCCTTGTCTTGCTTTGCTTTGAAAGTTTAGTGATTTGCTATCCCAGTGCTCAGTCTCTTGAATTGTGTCTTCAGCCTTTTCTCCTCACATCTTGCCACTCTTGCTTCCCAAAATCCAAACACCAGTCTGTTCAGAACAAAACATAAGCAGCAATCTCATTACTTCCTCTTAAAAAGGCTTATGCTGTCTGTCACTTCCCTAAACTACGCACTAACGTTCATTGCCAAATCTGTTGCCGGCTGCTTATCTGACTGATTTAATGTAGATCCTCTAAACACTTCCCACCCTGTGGCACTATTTCTCTGCTGCTCTATTTACTATCCTACAAGTGCACGTGAGTGGTGTAAGTTGCACATTGGTAAGTTGGGATGAAAGCAGAGTTGAGAGCAGGAAATGTAGTTAATGGGAGAAAGTTTGAGGGCATAAAATCAAGCAGGCCTCTCTAGTGTCTTGTCACCTCAGACCCTCTTATTTCTTTTATGCTATAACCCAATTTTTTCTCCTATCCTGCTATAAATTATTCCTGCCTGCACCAGCAATGACTTTTTGATGTGTAATTTAAGTCACTATTTGTCACTTCAGGGCAGCAAGCCAGATGCAGAATTGTCAAATTTTCTCTTTCTGCCTTACTGACCTGCTACGCATTTTTAACCACAGTGCTGAACCCATGTTTGTATATTGCTGGCAGGTAGCAAGTTACTGAACAATTTGACATGACATCCCTTTCTGTAATGACACCTCAGACACTTTCTAGTCTGCTGTCCTCATCACCCAGTTTTAACACTTAAAAATTAGAGTAAACTTAGGTTGTAACTAATTGACATTCAAATTTGTAATTTGCTGCCTCTTCTTTTTTCAGGTTGCTATCAAGCAGATAAACCTACAGAAACAGCCCAAGAAGGAGTTGATTATTAATGAGATCCTTGTAATGAAAGAGTTAAAGAACCCCAACATAGTGAACTTCTTAGACAGGTAAATACTGAGAATGGTTTTTCCCTTTTCACCAGGTGTCAGGTTAAAATTTTGGAATCCTCACTTTCCTGTATATGCCTGCCATTCCTATACCTCAAATTTACTTTTTCTGCTTTCACAAGCAAATTGGATCTTGTGAGAGCTTGTATTGACAGCTAACCAAGAAAAAGCTGAAGGCTATTGCATTGAGTGTACTATTGGCGACTCGTTACTAAATTGATACTCCCAGAGAAGATGAGAAAGGACTGGTGCTGCTGAAAGTTCCCTGTTTTAGATGAGGTGGAAAATGGCACCCTGCCCAGCTAGCCAGTAAATATTATTTAACATTTTGGTATGAGTAGGTGTTCAGCTTTAAAGCCTGAATTCCTGGCTACATAACAAAAATCAATTTTCTGTGCTACCTGTCCTGAACAATAATAATTATAGAATAATTTTTGTAATATAGAAATAGTACAGAATTTGTATTTTTTGCAGAACTCGTATAGAATTATATACAGACATTTATATATATATACAGAATAATTTCTTTAACACATTTTTATTTTTCAGTTTGGATTCTCATTTAATACCAAATGAGCGTAATCTTTATTTTCTGTATTGTAGTTACCTTGTAGGAGATGAATTGTTTGTTGTGATGGAGTATCTAGCTGGAGGGTCACTCACTGATGTTGTCACGGAAACATGCATGGATGAAGCTCAGATTGCTGCTGTTTGCAGAGAGGTGGGTATTTTTTGTTTATAAAAGTTTTAAAAGCACAGTCTTTCTTTCACGCTTTTTGGAATATTTACCTTACAAGTCAGTACAAGAACTGATGATATGTCCAGTCTGTATTTAACGTCATTAATGATGAAAAGAGAAGGGCTTACGTAAGCAATGCTTTTTAACTAAATTTGAAGATGAAAGCTAATTGGGAAGAACTGCTGACACGAGTGAGTACAGAAAGCACACTAAGATCACAAATAGCAAAATGGGATTCACTCAAAAAATGCAACCCGAAAACGGAAGAAAAGTAATTCAAAGAAGATTCTCAACGAGAGACCAAACCTAGAAAGTGGAGTGCAGAGAGAGGGGAAAAGGGTGATTACAAATTTATGCTTAATTTGTTGTTTGTTATATAATAAAGCAGAAGCAGGAAAGTCAGTAGAGTTCTGGACTGATTACATAGAAGCTCAGATCATGGTGTAAGCATCTTTTTTTTTTTTTTTAACATCTGGAATATTGTGTTCAGTTCTAGGCCCAGTATCACATTAATAGAAAGTTGTTGATAGATTGGATATGATTCAGAGGAGAGCAATAAGAAGTTTGGAGTGAATACTTTATAAAGAAAGATTGTTAAGGCATAAAACTATAAGCATTGAGATGGTACAAATCAAGAGAAATCTGGATTTATGTAAGAGTACAGCACAAAGTGTAATCAGAGTTGAAAACGCAGGAAGACTAGATTAGAGAGCTGAACCCAGAGTGTTTCAGGCTGTGGAAACATTCTCCAAAATGAAGAGGTGGCATATCCATTGCATAGAATGTTTAAAGTAGACTAGACAAACCACAGGAAAAAATCCTATGTTGGCATGGGGATGGGTTGGATTACTGTGCCTTTTTCCCTCTCCAATAGGTTGTTCTCTAGTTCATGCAGCCATGGAATTATGCGCAGCCAAAATTTCTTTGTGGGTTTCTCAGATATTTTCCGAACAATAACTTTATAGCTGTAAGCTTTGCTTATAGCTATAATGGTCTCAGATACAGATGATGTAACCTCTGAGCAGAAGTCAGATATAGCGGACATCACATCTTTTATCTTTTTTTTTTTTTCCCTGTTGCCCTGAGTCAGTGTCAGTCCAGTACAGACTCAGTTTATCATCACGGTAATTGCATTGCTTACTGTGCAGGGGGAAGGCGTTGTTTTTAAAAGCCAGTTAGATTGAATCAGAGGGGTATCTGCTTTGATGACTCACTAGAAGCGATGGTGCAGAAAACAAGCTTGTACCTTAACATGTATAGACAGATAATTATTTCCTGAGAATCAGAGTTGCCTCACTTGAAAATACAGGAAGAACAGTAACTGCTGGCAGTAAGAGAAAATAAAATTTCCAAGGGTAGGTCAAATGTCAACAAGAACATGTGAAAAAAAATATTGTTGCTCAGATATTTCCAGTTTACTGTTATTTCATGTATATTTTATTTTCCAGGGAGTTTGTCTTGTTTATCATTTTTCTGTGCCAAATCGTTGCTCTTTTTGGTTCCGTTGTTGTTGTAGCCTTCAAGGGCTGAGCAACCTTTAGGGAGATCCAGTTCAAATATGAAAGTATTCTTCAAATTCTGTGAGAGAATTTTTAAGTAATTTCAAAGTAAAACTTGCCTTTCTTTTAAGACGTGCAGCTTTTAGCACTTACAAAGCAGATGTTCGATGCTAAATTCCCAACCTATGGGTATTACCTTTTAATAGCTAAAATTTCCAGAGAAGGTCTTAACTCATAGCAGCAGTATAAATAGTAGAATAAAGGATCAGTGAAGGATGTTGGAGTCCTAGCCAGTAGAATCAGTGAAGAGGTGTCAAGGATGGCTACCAATCAAAGTGATTTCCATAAAAATCATATAACTAGAAAAAACAGTTAATATCTTTAAGCAGGAATTTGTTTGGCTCTGCAGTTTTAATCTTCTGAAGACATGATTTTGTTTTGTAGATTTTGAGAAGTAAAAATCAAGCCATGTTTGAAGAAAATAAGTGTGAAAAGGTTTATGTTATGAATTAATATCAGTCTGATTGGAAATTTCCTTAACTTGTATAGTTTCATCGCTTCCAAGATCTATATTGTTCTTTGCTATTCTGTATTTTGAATAGATGTTAAAAAAAACTGGGCAAAAGGTTTAGACTTAGTGGCTTCAAGACCAGCTTCACTTCTAGATCTCATTAAGATTCTACAGAGCAAGCTAAGACTGTGGAGAGGAGGGAACATTTTAAAAATATCTATATAAATGACAAGTACACAGTTTAAGTTGTTTACAGTTCCCACATTGAAGTGTAATTGTAAACTGCATCCAACTCTGTGTGTGTGCAAGAAGCTGCTCAATGTTTGATTCAAAATTTGTACTTCCAAGGATAGTGGTTCAAGATAACTTTGTAAAATCAAAACTACTTTTCTAAATTAAGCAAGGGCACTAATATTTAATGAGGAAGTTCACTCAACTTTTTCTAAAGTTCGCCATGTTGTGTAAACTGCATTTTACAATGAAAAGTAAAATAGTTTGCATAGTACCAGAGGTTGTAAATAATGAAGCATTTTACGTTTCAGTGGGATTCCACCAAACCAATCCTATTAGTTGATCAGGAATACTCAATAACTCAAAAGCTGTGGAAAAAATGACACTTAGCTAGGTTAGAGTGCTTAATATCTTTGAATGATGTGTGGCCTGTTTAGGAAGTTTATTGTTCATTCTGAGATGCTAGTAACAAGGAAATAATTCATTCTTTGGGGCTGAAGAACAGTCTGACCTCCATGATTTTCAGATGTTAATATTGATGTTTGTTGCTCAGCTCTTGAGCTTCCTCTGCTGGATACTTAAAGAAATAACTGCTACATTTTTGTTTGAATGCTATTTCTGCACATAAACTTTGCTTTCATGTTAACAGTAAAAATTGTTTTGCATATGATCAACATTGTTTTTTTCCTTCTGTACAGTGTTTGCAGGCACTAGAGTTTCTGCATGCCAACCAGGTCATCCACAGGGATATTAAGAGTGACAATGTGCTTTTAGGAATGGATGGATCTGTTAAGCTCAGTGAGTACCTGATAATTATTTTCCCCTGCTTTCCCTTTTAAATAAACTTGCAATGGCAAGTATACATTGATAAAAGGATAGTTGACAGTGAGTTTCAGAAATCAAATTTTTGCGATGAACAAATTTTTACACACAATATTTGATTTCGTAATTCTGAGCATCTGAAAGTTATTGGCTGCAAGTGTATCAAGCAGGAAGGATGGTTACGTAAACTCGCTACCACATGAATGCATTTGTTAATATAAATTAGCCTGCAATACTGTAATATGAAGTGAGGCAAAGATGCCAAAGATTGCAAGAGAAGAAAGCTGGGGCTTATTACAGATGCATTACAAGCTCTTTATATAGTGCAGAGTTTTGTAAATTATGACAGTCTGTTTACAAGGGCAACCACAACTTGAATATTGCACCCGATGATACTGCATTTATGTTGCAGTTAATATCTAAAGGGTGCAACCAGGCTGGGTTTCACTTTGATGGATTTTGTGTTTGTAACAGTTGATGAAACTTGCTGAAAAGTGAACCACCGAAGTAAAACATAGAATCTTGTTGCACTCAGTTGCGTATGGTGTATTTGACAGCTCTTTGCATATAGTAAGTCACTTCCTCCCATTGGTTGCATGCTCCCTGAAGCAAGTGGGGTAAGGAAAGCATCTCAAAATTGAAATGTGAATGTAAAACCACACAAAGAATTGTTAGAAATGCTTAGTAGGACAGGCATATTTACCCACTGAACACCTATAACCATGCTAAGTGCTACATACATACCTAAAATAATATGGAGTGGCATTTTCTCAGCTGCTTATGGGATTTGGATGGGGAGCAACTTTGGAAAATTCTGCCAGCGCTCAGTTTCCTAAAGAGCTTTCAGTCTAATCCCAGCCATTGGCATTTTTTTAACAGTGTTCACAAGCTGTAGTGGGGAAGTGCAAGTCAAGGCTGTAAGATAATGTGGTTATTCAAGTATATTATGTGCACTTGAGAGTGTAGAGGGTCCTGTTATGTTCACAAGGCTGTGGATGTTTTTACAAACTGAGTATGTGTGGGACTGTTTTTAATGAGGTGATAAGTAGATGGAGACTATCAAATGAATATGTGAGTGAAAGAAAATAGAGAAGAGGAGAAAGCTAACAGAGGATGGGGAAAGTCAAGAAAGGACAGGGACATGGTTAAGGATTGGTTTGGAAAGGAGCAGCTGTGAAGAAGAGGTAGCCCTTGAGAGGGTAAAGAAGACTGAGGCAAATAGGCACATGAGGTAAGGACAAGCACATGTGAACTCTAAAACCTTGCTCTAAGAAGCAGGTGACACTATAACAAGTAAATATCAGTTCCTTATTGGTGAAACAGGGTGGATAGGCTGTTATCCTCCCTTTGATTTGCAAGGTAGGTCTGTAGTGAGAAAGTTGGTACATACCGGAAAGCTGGTACACAGGCCTATTCTAAGCTTCTGCAGTCCTGGTTTCTGAAAAGCTGGTGATGTGGGCTCTTGTTTAAGAGAACAGGTTAGCCAGCCACTTGCAAGGTTTCTGAGCATGGTTTCAGTCTCAGAATCGGTACTGTGGGCGACAGTGTCTTTTAGGATTTCTTACTCCTGGCTCATGGAGATGGGAAATGGGTGAGATACCACAGCCAGCAGCTGTCCTTGCACAGTCTACAAGGTACACTGAGACCTGTCCTCAGTCTCAGTGGTTAATGTTTTTCCACTTACTATACATTGATCACTACACTTTCTTATTCTCAAATATAATAACACCCAAACACTGTTAAAATTTTTCACTGGTGAGGCCACCTAACTTGCGTGTATATTTTGGAAAACTCTTCTGTGTTGAAGAGTCTTTATTTTTTCTGTGTATTATATCTGATCTGACCATAAGAAAATACATTTCTCCATGAGGTGGAGACCCTGAATGAACCAACAAAATGAGTCTGGTTTGCTGTCCTCTTCAGCAGTCTCTTTGTCCAAGTAAAGATGGTAGTTTTCCAAGCTTTTCTGGTTGAATTAACTTGCTTAAGCAAGATCACAGTAGCTTCCTATATCTAAAGGTTCATTTCCATTCAGATATCGAAGCTGGTAACCAGAAATACATACTGAAATAATTTGTCTAGTAGTGCAGGAGGTGTCATAGTTGCTTCACCGTATTACACAGCTTAGTACAAAGCTGGTACGAGTACACAAAAATATTTTCCCATAGGCTCAGCTTAGTCCCTTTTTGTCTGTTAACAGTCTGGTCAGTTTGAAGAGGAAGTAACAAGAACATCTCTCTTTTCTAGAACACCACAAATAGTCTGGTTTAAAAAAACAACCTCAAACCTAAGAAAACAACAACTCCCCCTCCCAAAAATAAATAAATACAAATGAAGCCCCTTTATTTTGGAGGAGTCCACTGATGTATATAAATCATTTTGCATAGGATATATATTTACACCCATTTGTAGTTGGATTTCTTGCTGTAATGTGGAAAGTGCAGGAATCACCGTACATGTCAAAGGCATAGGTGCGAAAGTTGCATTTTTCTGGAAATGCAAAGTCTCCCTGAAAACAAGTGGGACTCTTGAGATGGGGTTTGCAGTAGAAATGGATGCACTAACTTGTGCTAACTTTTTTTTATTGTCATGCAGCCGACTTTGGTTTCTGTGCTCAGATCACCCCAGAGCAGAGCAAGCGCAGCACCATGGTTGGGACTCCATACTGGATGGCACCTGAAGTGGTCACACGGAAAGCTTATGGCCCCAAAGTAGATATTTGGTCTCTCGGTATTATGGCTATTGAAATGGTGGAAGGAGAGCCCCCATACCTCAATGAAAACCCTTTGAGGGTAAGAGATCACTTTTAAAGTAGTTACTATATCAGTCTTGCATGTGTATTTGTGGCTCAGGAAGATTACAAAGGGACTTTTGACCTTTAATTCCTAGGTTACTGGTTTGAATTTAAACATGTTTCAAAGTATTTGTAAAGGCTTGTAGTTGCTGGCTGTTTTAATAGACTTACCATATTTCCTAATGGACAGTTATCTATGTTAATGAATCTGGGGTGATTACTACTGGTATCTTGTCAAAAGAAATGATAACCTAGTGGTTATCATCCTGAGAGATGATGTTTCTTGGAAGACAATTGAGATGTCTTAAACTGTGCCTGTATTGTACTTAAATAAAAGACTTCACTACTGAGCGGTGCTAGTCTGCTGCCCAGAGCAAACTGCCATCACTTAAAAGTAAATCCAATTAAATTTTAAGAATACGAACTTATGCAGTACATTTGACCAGACTTGTCTTCCCTTTACATATATGCCTCTCATGATGTCTGTCAGTTCAGTAATTTTAAGTATCTCCAGTTACCTTGCTAATAACAGGTGACACAGATAAAGCAGTGTAAGTAACACTCTTACAGCACTCTTCATCGTGGCTGTGGAGAAACAGATTGTCTTCCTTCTTCCTCTCTGGACCAAGACATTGCCCTTCTCCTTACTGGAGGGATAAAAGTTTACATGTTTGAGCATAAATACTTAACCACATCCGGTGTATGTGGCAGTCTGTTCAGTTTGTCATATACAATCCCCTCTATCTTACCACACCCGTGATGGGAGTCATTCTTAATGCTGCCAATTATTTTCTAGTATTGTTCAGTGATAAACAGGGATCTGGGTTTTCTGTTTCCTATGGGAAAACTGAGTAAAGCATGGGTCCCCCTGTGCCCTGGGAGTGTGTGCCACAGTGGGGAGCTGACCTCACCTGAGCCCACAGCAGAGGTGGAGGGTGGGGGAGCTGGGCTGTGCTCTATTGTAGCAGCTGCCACCTCCTCCTGGGGACAGGGGGCTGTGGACCTGGCTCCCTGGCCCCATAGCCCTGGCAGCTAGGAGCACTCTGGGAGGGCTGGTGAGCAGGGGCTGTGGGTGGGGAGTGAGGGGCACCAGCAGGGCTGGTAGGACTGTGGGATGGGGGCTTTAATTTTTATCATGGACTTGTATCAGAGAATTTGCAATTTTTATCAGGGAAAACCAGGATCACTGGTGATAAATTGTTTAGAGCATCACCCTTGGCTTTATATTTACTTTACTTAGGCTCCAAAGTGTATAGCAGCATGCAGTATATAGTCAATTAGGAATCTAGGCTGCATGTCCCTCATGCATTTCATGTTTTATCCCCTTTAGTAGGAAAATCTTTTGCATGCATGTGTTAAAGTCTACAGTTTGCTTCCCACATAAGTCTACCAGGGAGTAATGATTACATGGGGGGAGGGGGAGAAGCAAAATCCCATTTCATCAAATGCATCATATTTGTATTAGGGGGTGGCTATCCAAGTTGGAGGTTTCCTGAAGTATCTGAAATGCTGTAGTTTAGCACTTGATCTGTCCAGCTCCTTATGTGTCTAGGTAAATTTCCTTAAGTGCTTAGCTTTATTCTATCTTCAAGTCAAAATACATGTTTCAGAATCTTAAAACATGACTTGGTTGTAACAGGAGCTCTCTTTTTGCAGGCTTTGTATTTGATAGCAACTAATGGCACACCAGAGCTGCAGAACCCAGAGAAACTGTCCCCAATATTCCGGGATTTCCTAAATTGTTGTTTGGAGATGGATGTTGAAAAACGAGGTTCAGCCAAAGAGCTGTTACAGGTAAAGAGGAGGGTGTTAGAACTTCCTGATGACCTGAGAAGAGGCAAGCATTAATATAAGAGGTCATCTTATGCTACCCATGCTTGTGGGTTGTCATCAGCTTTTATAGTCTTCCTACCAGATGATTGTTTAGTAGAAGGGAGCTGGAGAGAAGCACAAGTGGCAGAACGGCAACAAAATCTGACTATGTTGAACAGCAGTCAGTGCTGTCTGTATTTTGCCATTTGTAGTTTTGTGACTGCTGCGTACTGAAGTGGAGCATATGTAGCAAACCTGGTGGGATAGAGGGGGAGAAATGTTAGAACAACGATTATCTCTGCTTTGGGAAATGGTATTGTAAAAGAGATGGCAAGGGTTACCCAAGTATGTGATGCTAATATGAGGATGAGGGGCTATTAGATAATCTTATCCCTTATTCCATTCTGTGGGCTTGTCCCTTCTTTAGGATCAGCACATTGGCAGCACTGTGAAGTGCTTTTCATACCTTGGGTTGGAAAGTGCTATGTTAATACAACAGTTTATGTTGGGTTTTACAGCTGTGGCTTTTACTTACTTACTGTGTTTCTCTTCTTGTCAGCATCCTTTCCTGAAACTGGCCAAACCTCTGTCAAGCTTGACGCCGCTGATTCTGGCTGCCAAAGAAGCAATGAAGAGTAACCGCTAATATTGTTGCCATGACCTTCAGTTTTTTAAAAAAATCTTTATAATATATGAAATTGTTACTCTTGTTAGGGGGGTTGAAAGAGTCTGCAAAAGGGAAAGTTCTTACCCAGAAGAAATCCAACACAAACCACGGTGACTTTCTAGCCCTTTCTAGGGTCCCAGAGGAAATGTGGACTGTATCGCTGGCCTTTCACCTTTTTAGCAGACAGCCCAGGAGTGCTACTTACTCCTGGGGTTTTAAGGGTTTTTTTGATGACTTCACTGTTACAGTTCCCATTCATTGTGCCCTCTTGGGTACTTCCAATACTTGAATGACAGATTCAAGCTTTCAGAGAGAGGCATTAATTTTATCTGCTGATCTCTTTCCTTCTCCCTTTTACCTGTCTTTCAAATTGCTCTGGGAAGCTCACCATATGACTAGATTAATAGCAAGTGGGACTGAAATGTGAAGGTACATCTTATCTCTCTCTCCCTTTCTGTACAGTTTAGCTAACTGTACTGTAAAAAATAATGACTCAGTTACTTAAGAAATTGCAACTTCCTTAAAAGAATGTTTTGCTTTTTAAGAAGAGTATGGGGAGAGGGGAAAGAGAAGAGTTCGACTGTGTTCCTGTTCTGTGGCTATGCTCCACAGACCTTCTTAACCTAAGGTAAAAGGCTTTTGTGTAGAACTTTCTTGGTCACATTGTCAGAGGTCAGGTTGCCAGTACGGGGTGAGAGAGCAGATGATCAGTTTATGATCAAGTCATCAGCTGAGAGTGGGGAGAACTGAAGTCCCAACTGTCTTCCTTTCTGCTCTGCTTCCCACTGTTAGATTTTTTGGCCAAAGGCTTACGTCAATGTCTTGCATGGTGTGGTGGACAGTTTTAGAATAAGTGTTGTCTCTGATCTCTAACTCGGACGTGGGAGTTTTGCTGGTGCCTTTGCCTTTTTTTTACATTTCCCTCCTTTGTATCAAATATGTTTTGTATATGTTGTAATTTTATCTGCAAAAAGGCAAATAATGCAACAACCATGGAGTTGTCAAAATTTTAAGTATTAGAACTATTTTTTCCCATTTTATATGTGCCCTGTTTCTACAAATGTAATCAAAAGAACAAATAATTCATCGTATCTGAGGACACTGAAGATCCAAGATTTTTTTGTAATTCAGACAGAAGCTTATGAACATCTGGAAACACCAAAGTGCTGTTCTGTGGAGAGACAGCCAATTTGAGTGGCTGATGTGTAACTGGAGAGACATATATCATGTTGGCGCTTTTTCTCTAAAGACATTTTTACCAGCTAGGATGGCAGAAGATGAAAAGCTTAATACAAGAAAAAGTGCCTCCTTGTAAGAGCTAGCGAGTAATGTGAATTTTTAGGTGCCTATTTAGGTAACAGTAGCAACTGTGGGAAGATTTCCTGCTCCCTGGCTTCAGCCACTGAAATCACTGTGCATTTATACCTACGGATTATTTTGATAAGGAGCTGTTTGTAGTTGTAATGTGCCAAATGATACATGTGCAGGAGTTGCCATCAATTTGGTGTTAAGCAATGTTGTTGCATTCCTAACAGGCAGTGTGTGTCCAAGTAGAGAATATTGCTTGTGGAATGAGAGGAATCCATTTGGGTTGTGACAAAGGAGATTGCCTAAATGAGTTTTGCATGCACTCTTTTTGTTGTGGGAAGGTAGAAATCTTTCTTCTCTGCAAGCATAATGTCAGTGTTTTATTGTTGGGATAGAATACCTGTGTTCCCGTGTTTGGTCACCAAGATATGGCGAAATGAAGCCTACGCCTGGAGAACTCCCATTTCTAGAGCCTATACAGCATGGGGACTTCATTCTTTCAGCGTATCTGATCAGTTTTTCTATAGCTGCTCACTAGAAAATTGATTTGCACCAAACAGGGTGCCTGATTAATGTAAGAAATTGCAATACCACATTTCTATTTGCTTTCTTGTAAGTTCTGTTATGTGGTATGTTCCTAGCTGAATTACTTTAATAGAGAAAGGTTACATCAGAAGAATAAACAACCCAGTTGCTGCAAACCACTAGAATAGTCGCTGTTTAATCCAAGGAAGTGTCATGTTCTAGGCCAGATATTTGAGATGTGCTTCCCCTGTAACAAACTTTAGATCTGTTGAAAGCCATATACACCATAAGCACTAGCATGGCAGCGCCCTTGACTTTAATGCATGTGACTTCTGTTTATAAAAGAGCAACAAGGAATCTTGGGTTATATTTAATTCTTTCTCATCAGTGGTTCCCTGTTTGTCCATTGCTGGCAATGGATTTGGTGAAAAATCAAGCTCCTAGTGCAGGAGTTAAACTTGGCGCTATTATTTGCTTGGTAGCACATCCTGGGCTACCATATAAATATAATTTTGTTCTGAAACTAGCAGTTTTTAAAAACAGGAAAACGTAAAATCACACATTTTTAACTTATTAGTTCACCTTTATTGATAAAGGAAAACTTTTTGATCTTGTATTAGCAAATCTGTCCACATCAGTATCTTTATTTAAGGGGTTCATTTTGAAGTTGTTGGGGGTTTTTTTAATTTTGTTTTTTAAATCAAATTCAGGAGTTTCCAAAGTGCATCCCAGTGCTTGTCAAGTGGCCTGCTGTGGTATTGAACAATGCAACTGAGAAGTGCATACATTTCTCTCTTCTCCCCGTCCCCCAAATCTGTAGCAGCTATATGGTTATACAATTAGGATTTTTTTTTTACTTCTGTTAGAAACTTATTAGGAACAAACAAAGGATATTAGTTCAGGAAACAGTGGGAATAATGGTAGGGTTGGATTTTGCAGCAAAGTGTGGAGAAGAGCAGAGCAGTCAGGGAGTTGACAAGAAAAGAAATGAACCATGGGAAGTTGCTGCTCTGTGCTACACTGTGATTGCTGTGCATATAATGTACCAGTGGGTTGGCTGTCTCTTTTCTAACTGAACAGGTTTTGCACGTGTCTTCCAAACCTAGTCCAAAAATGTGGAAAAGGCCATTTTTCCGCATAAGGGACCAGGCTAGAACTGTTGATACAAGCTTTTCTTTTTTGTCTTGTTTCAACCCAGATTATGGCTATGTATGGCTGAAGAGAAAATAGCCAGAGACAGAATGGATGCTGAAAGGGAGGTGTTGCTTCTGTACGTGCTAGGATTCCCATATCTCTTATCTTGACATCCCAGGTGATTACTGATGTGCTAGAACCCCTGAACCAAGTTCTCAATCAAATATGTATGCAAATAAATACATGTGAGGTCTTTTTACGATGTTAGTTCTGGAGAGTAACAACAGGAAAGGGATGTTCATCTTCACTGCACCAAAACAAGTATAAAGGAAATGTCTGATTCCCAGGTTTTTCTACTATGAAAATGGGAACAGACCAGACTTTGCCACACACAAGCATGCCACTGGGATCACACATTCAGAACTAAATATAGATGTTCATCACATGAGTGTCTTCTGGAGGAAGGGAGCTGTGAGGTGCTCCAGAGTAGTTCTGAATAACTGAACTCCTTTGTCAGAAGAGCAGGGGTGGGAGGTAGATAAGGATACAGCGATAGGTATTTGTAGCTGGGAATGAACAGATTTCTCTGGTCTGCTTTCCTTCTCTTCCTCACTTTGCCAAACAAAAATGGAAGTAAGTGTAAGCTTTCTTCCTTTTTTTTCTTTCCAAAAACTGTCTTCAGATTGTAATGTTGCCTTCCTTTTGTTTAATTTAATCCCATTCTGTTATTTAATTGTTACTGCAATATTAACTACTGTAATTGGTGACTTTGTTTAATAACTGTTCTTTCAGGGCTAGAAATAAACTTTTAAAAAAATGTTTGTTATTTTTTCCCCTCTTCTTGAATTTATATCTTTTCTAGAACAGAGTAGCTTAAAAAATAAACGTCTAGGTATCTTAATGGGTCTAGAGAATTATGCTTTATGTTTTATGTAACTTTTGCCACTTTCAAGCATGAAACTTAAGCTTTTCATGAACACTTAATTTTCATTGTGGTAGCCTTTATTTTGAGGGATGCCTCAGCTTATCTTCTGTTTTCAAGACCATTTTAACTGCTGATCATAGCAGCCACCCTGATAACTGCAAACTGTCCTTGCTGTCAAGTTCAACTGATGAGTCAGTTGTGTCTCTAGCAAATGTTCTCAACCGCTGAACCCAGGAGAGCTCCTCCAAACTGTCCTCTGTACTCTTGGTGAGGTGCTCTTTCTAGGAGGTTGCTGCATAAGAAAAACTGTTAGCAAAGAACTGTCTAGACTATCAACACTGCATCTTCCAAGGCCAAAACGCTGTAAAACAGTGGCTCTCAACCTATTTGCCATAGTGGGCCACACTTGCAACTCTCAAAGTGTTGTGTCTTGAACCCACACAACTTACTTCCTGTGTATCCATTTAAAATATGTTTTGCATGGGTTGCAGCAGTGGATCTCGTGGCCCGTGGGCTTCAGGTTGAGAACCACCGCTGTAAAATAATTGTCAATGATTGCATTTGGAATTGATAAGCCAGTTGCCTTGATCAAGCTGCTGGCAGTATGAAGTTCCAGTAATATTATTCCTAACAAACTTGCAGTATTACTTTTGTTGAAAACATCCTTAAAAATATCTCTCTTCAGTGTTATACAGAAAAGAGACCAAGAAGCTTGAGAGCTATCTTTTCATCTGAATAGGAGACTGAATGCACTCTTAGGTCAACATTTGCCTGGTATAGTTCATCTGTGAGAGGAAGTCAGGCCTGGATGACTCTACCTGGGGGTTTGGCATGAAATCAGCAGCACCTGCTGGTAGACTGTTAGAACATTTTATTTTTGTGTTTCATTTTGGTATAACTTAAAGAATTGTACTGAAGGATGGCGTTAGAGAAAAAAGACACCAGAGTGAATGACTGTAGGAAGACAAGGTTGGTTTTGGTTGAAATCTGAATGAAGTTTCTATTATTGACTTCTGTTGTTAGTACCAAACTCATGCTGTACGTACAAATTACCCCATATACCTTCATGCTTAAGAAATAGCTTCTTTCCTCCTCACCTGTTTCAGTGAGTGGGAAGTAGTAGCCTTCCAGAAACATTTGCAACCTTAGAAAACGAGTGTTGGATGCCACAAAATATTCTGCCTTTTCCAGTTGTGTTTACCTGGCAGTAATTTGTTTCACATGTATGTAATCTTTGTGAATTTTAATTCATGGTCTGCACTGCATAAGGATGATCTTGTATTTAATTTCTTGTTTTGTTACTTGAGAGGAGGGATAGTCCAGTAAGTCAAGTAGACTTTAGTGCTCACACCCTGTTAAAAAGAGCAAAGCTTTGCATGCAAGCTTGAGCTGGTTCTTTTAAACTGAAATCAATGTATGGTGACTTGTTTCTGTTTATGTAAAATCTGCTTGTTTCTTGGCTTAATTTAAATCAAAATGAGCTTGGTTTAATCCCATAACAAGAACCATCCACAGCAGTTTGTTTATTAAGCTAAATTGATTTTAAGTGGCACAGTAAGTTTAAAACCTGTGTGTAAACAAGCCATAAGATTGAGGGATAGTTGAGTTCATACTTTCATAGTTGCAGTTTAAGCTGGAAAGTGTTTTCCCACACATGATCTTGATTCTCTGGGCAATGACACATTGGTTTAGAGTAGAATGGCTGAATTTTGAAAATGGAGAAAGGTAGAAACTAAGACCCACACTATTAAACCATCATTTTTCAATAGTGCACAAAGAAAAGCCTATCCATAAACTGAATGCAGTTAATGGGGTGTCATGTAGACGCACAGCTACTGTTTATTATTGCCTTGGTTGTCTGTAGTATCGGTTAGTTATATCTGCATTTATCAGCACTATATGTTTACCGTATGTGTGTTCTAAAAGCCTTTGGGGGAAGGGAGGGATTAGTGGCTTTAAAAAACCCCCCAAAGAAATCAGAGTTGAGAAGGTATATGCGAGTATGTAAAAATGCACTGACTCCTGAGATCTCAAGATGTGCAGTGTTCTCCTAGCTAAAATTTTAATCCTGTGCTTAAGGCTGTTTTAAAAACTTTATTTTGCAACTTGCTTGGGTGGTGATGCTTGTGACCCTATTTCAATGTCCTTAAAGATAGTCCCAGCCAAAGTAGCCATCTCTCTCAGTCCAGATGGAAGAATGTCTCTCTTGGAGCTGCATGAAGAAGTCTTAATATACACCTCCCAGAAGCACATGAATGCAAAACTGCTTTCCCTCATCCTCCCACCTCCTGAATATAGAGAAAAGAAGAGTTAATGGAAGAGGTACCTACCTTGGAGGTGTATTCAGTCATTGTTTCAGTAAGCAGAAACCTGAAATAGCAGAATGACTTCCCAAAAGTTCAACAGTGGTGTGACTCCAACCTGAGGAAATGTTGAACTCAAAGGAAGATTTTTAAGGAAGTTGTGAACAAATGAGAACACCCTAACTGATGGCAGACAAGACTATAATTGAAGTTACAAAGGATGTAAGTAACACAAATACATAGTGACCAGAGGGTATGGGAAAGGCAATAGGTTGACAGTAGTAAAAGCTCTTCTCTTGAGCTGTATTGCTCTTATACAGTCTCCTTTCATGTCTCTCAGCCATGACCTGCAAAGGGACCCCACTTGCATGGGTGAGAGAGTTTGGTGTCCATTTTCATTAGCCCTAGGTCAAGCTGCTGAAACTTCCTATAGAGACTGCATGTTGTAGTGATGTTTGTGGTGTGGAACTGTCCACAAGATACTACCTGGTCTATTGAAGAACTGAAAAACACAGCACAGGGGACACAATGGTGGGAGTCTATTACAGACCTCCCACTCAAAGTCCTGAGCTTGACCAGGAGTTTGCCCAGGAACTGGCTGAGGCAGCTTGCTCCAGGACCATGGTTGTCATGGGTGACTTCAGTTACCCAGACATCTCGTGGGAGGATCGCTCAGCAAAATCTGAGCGGTCACAGAGCTTCCTCTCGTGCGTGGATGACCTCCACCTGACTCAAGAAGTCTATGGGCCAACGAGAGGCAAAGCGCTGCTCGACCTGGTACTGGCTACTGGGGATGACCTAGTCGGCGACCTAGTGATCGATGGGAAGCTGGGTGACAGCGAACACGAGCTGATCGCCTTCACCATCCGCCGAAAAGCTGGCAAGTTGGTCAGCAATGTGCAAGTCTTTGACTTCAGGAAAGCCGACTTTGACAAGCTCAGGAGGCTTGTCAGTGAGGCCCTAAGGGACCGTGACCACAGGGAGAGGGGAGTTCAAGAGGAGTGGTTGCTCCTCAAGGGAGCGATCCTCAATGCACAAACTAAGTCTATTCCATCTCGGAGGAAAGGCAGCAAGAGGGCACAGCAGCCCCCCTGGCTCTCCAGGGACCTAGCAGACCTCCTGAGGCTAAAAAGAAAGGCCTACAAAGGATGGAGGATGGGAGTCACCTCCAAGGAGGATTATTCTGCACTGGTCCGGTCCTGTAGGGAGCAGACCAGGAAAGCCAAGGCTGAAACTGAACTCCAGCTAGCTTTGAGCATCAAGGACAATAAGAAGTCCTTTTTCAGATATGTGGGGAGCCGGAGGAAAAGCAGAGGCAACATTGGACCCCTGCTGAGCCAGATGGGGCAACTGACAACTGACGCCCAGGAAAAAGCCAACCTATTAAATAGGTACTTTGCGTCAGTCTTTCATCAGTCCCATGGGACGCCCATGCCCGCTACAGGGCCGGGAAGTCCGGGTGAGGGTGATCCCCTGCCCTCCATTAATGCTGACTTTCTGAAGGAACATCTTGAGAAGCTGGATACCTTCAAGTCAGCTGGCCCTGACAATCTTCACCCCAGGGTACTCAAGGAGCGGGCGAGCATCATAGCCCAGCCTCTAGCACGGATCTTTGAAAACTCTTGGCGCTCTGGTGTAGTGCCCGAAGACTGGAAGAAGGCCAATGTGGTGCCTATCTTCAAGAAAGGGAGGAAAGTGGATCCGGCTAACTATAGGCCCATCAGCCTGACTTCTATCCCGGGGAAGATCTTAGAAAAGTTTATTAAAGAGGCCATCCTTAATGGACTGGCCGACGCCAACATCTTAAGGGATAGCCAGCACGGGTTTGTTGCGGGTAGGTCTTGCTTGACCAATCTCATTTCCTTCTACGACCAGGTGACCTATCACCTGGACAAGGGAGAAGAGATTGATGTCATATATCTTGACTTCAAAAAAGCCTTCGATCTGGTGTCCCATGATCGCCTCTTGGAGAAACTGGCCAATTGTCGCCTTGGGTCCTCCACGATCCACTGGCTGGAAAATTGGCTCCGGGGTCGGACCCAGAGGGTAGTAATCGATGGAAGTCACTCATCGTGGTGTCCTGTGACCAGTGGGGTCCCCCAAGGCTCTGTCCTTGGACCCATACTGTTCAACATCTTCATTAATGATGTGGACACTGGAGTCAGAAGCGATC